CCTTCCAGCTCCAACAACCAAGAAGAAATATCCTGCCTTCATGTCGTCGCCTGTACCTCTTGGAGACTTCGTACTGCTACAGGATTGGGTGCCTCCACACGGAATCGAAGGGCGTTGGAAAAACTCTCGCCTACTTGGAATGGAAGGGCGTTGAGTACCTGAAGAAGACGGAATATCCAAGTGTGTCACCTGACCTGAAACCCCTCCGGGAGGAGCTCTATAGGGTGGTCTACAATGGCGGGGAAATCAACGACCTCGCTGTACTTACAAGGGAACCCCAACAGGTCGATCCGGCCATTTGCAATGAGATGTATATATGTGGACGTGTCTTGAGCCGCTGAATCCAAATCTGCCCTCGGAATTTGCGGAACGATTCTCTGAAGGGAGTTACGGACCATTTAATCTCTGCTGTCTGCACAAGTTGGGAACGATAACTGCGTGCGGCAAGCGGCCGATGGCGTAGTGGATAAGCGCACTGCTTCGAAGACGCGAGGTCGCATGTTGGAACCCTTGACTCTTGAAATTTTTTGCTTTTGTTTAAAACACTTCATATGAGTCCTAAAACACTTCTGTTTGGCCAATTTACCTAGTTCTTTAATTATTTGACAATGGAAGGCGGCCGATTCTCCATTTCTGGTTCCTTTTGAAAACTTTTATTATGAGGATAACCGTTTCTAGAGCTTGCATCAAGAAATGAGGATCTTACGGTTTAAGAGCACATGTGGTATCCTTCCACAAAATGATAGAAATAATACGAATTCTCGCAATGAGCACAGCGAATGAAAAGTGCTCTCCACACACGGTACAGTTACAGTTCTCCACCAGTCCAGAGGGGAAGCGGTACTGAAGAGGTGTTTCAAAATCTACCAGGATGTGTTTCGAAGTATCCAGCCGAGTACCAAGATTAGGATAAGAAGTTTTTGAATCTAGGTGAGCAAACTTGAAAATAGACTAGAGATAAAAGACGGAGAATGGAGTCCCGTTCATGTATTGAAAAAAATATATTATGGGCCAATACATAAGAAGTGAAGTGTTTGTTTATTCATAGCTTTGAACGGTAGGAAGAAGTACGTGTCTAAAGGTTGAATCGAGGATGTTGCACCTGGTGGTATATTGAGTACTTTCACATATCTATTAGATGGCAGAGCAGATCGAATGGATTCATGATCTATAAAGGAAATCCACGAGTCGACTATGAGGAGCGTCGACTGGGAGGAGGGGGGGGGTCCTGGAGCAGCCACACAAGGTTCAATCCAGCGTAAGCTGTTTAGACATGATATACGTTTTGCTTGGTGGAGCAAACAATTTGTCAGCTTGAATGCATTTCGGAAGGGGAAGCTCCACTGGGTTCCTGTTAAACTAGATACTGAACAAATTTGTAGATAATACGGATTGCATACAACGGACCTGCATAACCACAAAAAGTTGCACATGTGCTCTTGAACCGTAAGATCCTCATTTCTTGATGCAAGCTCCACAAAAGGTTATCCTCCTAATAAAAATTTGCAAAAGGAACCA